GCAAAGAAGATGCAAGACGACCGAGGATAATAAGATTTTGGAGGTTTTGCTTTATCAGGATGTAAAAGAGTACTAGTATAAATGATGAGAATGGTTGTTAAGTGGTATATAAGTAAGGGAGATTGACATACATACCACTATATTACTAACATTTTATATATCTAACATCTCAAATATTAATATTATAGTTATACCACTCAAATCCCTTATTTACCTCAATTATACTACTCCGTCTCAAGCGGGTCTCACGATGTTTTCTGCACTCCATCTCCCGCAGAGTCACAACATCTTCTTCCAGCCAAAATCCTCCTCCTCGCGCTTCGACTCGCCAGTTGTTTCCCAAAAGTATGCTCGCAAGGTGAAATCTACCTTGCCGTGGATTCTTTCCTCGTACGTCGTGGATTCTTTTCTCATACGCTCATTCATGACCAAGTTCTCTATTTCAGTTTCCATTCCATTTCCCTGTTCCTTAATTTTTTTCTTTTGTTTTTCTGTATGTGTGGATATTTTTATTTTTTACATTAAACTAAATTCAACATTGTGGTTGAACAAAAAAAATTGATTGAACCATCAAAAGACAGTTGTTTGAAACAGATGGTTGAAAACTCAAAATGTAAATATTTTCCAAATGATATTAAATTATTGTTTGTTGTTTGCCAATAAGGAAGAAGATTGTTCGAAATAGTTTTTTGAAGGAAATTGTGCATTTACTCTAGGTAGTTATTGATGTGTTCCAAGAGGACATATATGTGAGTGTTGAATGATTCATTTAAAAAACTATAAATTTTTAAATGATATTTTTTTTATCATTTGTGTTGCAGGATGGTGACAAAATTAGAAATAATTTATATAGAGAGCAAAAAGAGTATATTTTTGTTGCATTTAAGTTTGGAGGAATTTGGGTTAAAACAAATGACCGACATATAAAGAGATATGATGGTGGCAAATAATGGACTGCAAAATTTGATAAAAGACAACTCAATATTTTCACGCTTAGAGGAGAGATTGTTAGATTATGTCAATAGCTTAAGGGGCATCCATACAATATGTATTATCACATATATGGTACATCACCGAAGGAATATAAGGATATCAATTCTGACATTGATGTGACTGAGTTGATAAAATTATCTAATGAAAATTTACGTGCTGAGATAATCATCACAATACAAGAAGTATATGCACATGAATCGATTTTTAATCTTAGGGAGGTTGTGAATTCTAAACAGATGGTTGAATGTTCTAAAGATATAGCTGATGTCACCTTTTTTCCTGATGCAACAAGTTTCAAGCATGCTCTGCGATCAGTTGCCATCAAGGAGAATTTTGGGGTTAGGATAAAGGCTAGTTATAAGAAACGTGTTATTGCAATATGCTCTTATTAATGTTACAAATGGAGAATTTGATCTTCTCTATGTGAAGACATACAATCTTTTTAAGTTAGGAGACTTGATAGAGTTCACTCTTGTCCTGGAATCAATCATGTTGGGAATATACTAGCCACATATGTTTGGGTTGCCAATGAGATTTAAGAGACAGTCAAAAGGAATCTATACATGCCTCCAAAAGATAACAATAATAGTTTAGAGAAAGAGTATGACCTTTCATTACCTTACATGAAGTTGTGAAGGTCAAGGGAGCAAGCTCGTGACAATATATTTGGCTCTGTAGATGATAATTATAAATTGATACCAACACTACAAGCTAAATTGATTGATAGAAATCCCGATTCACATATTACATTTACGTATAACTACCACGACAATTCATTTCAGAGTTTTTATGTTAGCTTTAAGGTGTGTGCAAATGGATTCATATATGTTTGTAGACCTCTTATCAGTTTGAATGCATGTCACCTCAAATCCAAGCACTTAGGCATGCTTTTATATGCAACATCACTTGATGGTAAAAATGGTTTATTCCTTTTAGCATTTGCTATTATTGAGACTGAATCTAAGAAGACATATTTATGGTTCCTTCATAATTTGGGAGAAAGCATTGGTACAAACATAGAACCACTTACTTTATATCAGTGGAGAAGGGGTTGGGCGATGCAATTATATAAGTATATCTTGGAGTTGAGCATAGAGTTTGTACTCATCATTTGTGGAAGAATATGAAAAAAAAAAAAAAATTCATTGCAAAAATGGATATAAACTTTAAGGATTAGTTTGGGCTACAACTAATGCATATACTAGTATAAAGTATAATGAGAAGCTAGCTAAGCTAAGTGTTCTTAGTCCGACTATCCATGCGTACCTTTTTTTCCTTAAATTACAAGTGGTCACGAAGTTAGTTTATGTTAGGTATATACCATGCTACCAATACCAATAAATTTACAAAATCATTCAATGCATGGATAATGGAAGCTAGGAATAAACTAGTTGTTGACTTAATTAACATGCTTCGTGGTAAACTAATGGAGCAAAGGGCTGCACGGAAGATGACAAGTTTGACATGGCACTGTGAGATAGTACCCCATGCAGAAGAATACATAAGAGAAATTACTACCAGAAAAGAACATTTATTAGTTCGCCAATCCAATATTTTCAAGGCTGAGGTAGAATCACTTCATTCAAGACATATAGTTAATATTGTGAGTAGAGACTGTACATGTAAGGTATGTCAGTTAACAGAACTTCCTTATATTAATTCCACGGCTTTCATTGGAATGAAGGAGCATCCTTTGTGGCATACGTACGTTCATGATTACCACTACGTATATAGGTAACTTTTACATTTTTTAAAAAATAAATTCTATTTCACACAAGTAATCTAATTACAATTGCTTTAGATACATGTTCGCGTATGATGGAACAATTAACATGTTACCTGGGAAGGATCAGTGGCAAGTAGTTCATGATGTGGTGAATGTTGGAGTGCCAATACATCAACACCTATAGGAAGACCCAAAAAAAAGAAAATTGCCAAAATTTTTAAAGAATGATAAGAAAGTACATAAATGCAGCAGAAGCGGTCTTTGGGGTCATCATCGAAGTACTTGTAAGAATCCATTACAAAAGAGCATCGAGGACATATTAATAACACAAGCGGGCAACCGAAGCGACCCAAGCTTCCAAGTAGACGAACTGCTGAAAACTTTACTAAAGGAAGTGAATACAAGTATTCATATGTTGAAGGTTTATAAGTAATTGGAGGTTCATAATTTATTTAGGGTCACATATTTTGGATCATACTTTTTTGGGACACCTATTTTGGGTCAGCTATTTTGTGTCGCAGGTTATAAATTTATTTTTATTCCTCATAAACAATTGACATGTTCCGTTTTACTCGCAATTTATAAAATTGTTTTTGTTCTTAACTTGCTTGCATAAAAAATTCTGGAAATAAATGGATATTTATAGTTATTAGTTCCATCCAAACTCTAGAAGAATTCTGCTTGGAGTGCTGTCATTTTAAGATGGTAATTTTTCATTCAAAATCCAGAAGAATAACTATCAATTTCTAAGATGATAATTTTGAGTGAAGTCATGTTAATATTTAGTGCTTCGGTTCTTGGTGCATCCATTCATATATGATGTTATAATTCACAAGTTAAATGACCATCACACTAGATTGATTCAATATCTATCAATTTGCTTCAAAAATTTTCTGACCAAATCTAGAATTTCTCCAAAAAATAATAAATTGTTCTTTCATTCCACAAATCAATGAAGATATAATATACCAAGGCAATGCATGCCAAAAAGCTAGCTCAAGCAACAACAATGCTTGAACTATTAACCTTAGACAATAAGAAAACAAACTACAAATATAACACATGTCGTCCTCTAAACAATACATAAATTCTACTTCAACACTGCAATGTACTAGCCAAAATAAACTCATATTGTAATGTCGATAAGAACAAACCCAACAAAAACTTTAATCGTCAGGAGAATCAAGTCAAGCTTCTTAGAAGTATTTGCATCGAAGGCTTTAGACATAAGATTACTCTTCTTGCTCATCTAACCATTTAAAGTTACTGTAATCATCATCACTTCTATTATAAATGCACCTATAAAATTGTCTTCCACTATTAGGTCCTCGGTGGCATATATACTAGACACATTTGAGGTGACAATATCAATAAACTTGGGAATACTGCCGCTTGACTTTCACAACGGATGAATTTAAAGAACTCATTAAAAGCTGCAGAAAATCTATCAAAACAGTGCAAATTTTGGTTATAGCAATGCAATCGAACTTGCAATCAAACAACCACTTAAAACATGAAGCATATTCAAACATCCATTAATTAACAGAAATGTATTATCTAATCACATAAGTGCCATCTCAAATTTAGTTCAAATGTGAACCATTTCTACCACACATTGATGTGCACAATTTGGAAACTCTCCCCAACGGTCAAATGACAACATAAACAAGGAACTCGGAAGCAGATCCATGATACAAAACTATAATGGAACCAAAAGGGCGGAACCATGATAATGGAAGTAGATTCATGATACCAAAAGGGTTGATCCATGATACAAAACTATATTGGAAGCAAACCCATGATATCTGGAGGCAAACAAAAATAACTAATTGAACTAAAATTTTCATACTTTTACCTTGGATTGTGAAAAAGGCTAACTTTGTTCGCATATAATGGAACGTGGTCCCTCTCCTTTTTCACTTCAGCATCTCTCAGAATTTAAGCCCTAACGTGCGAGAAGGAGTGCAAAAAATGTCATGAGGCCCGCTGGAGACGTAGTGGTATAATTGAGATAAATAAAGAATTTGAGTGATATAACTGTAATATTAATATTTGAGGTATTAGATATGTAAAATGTTAGTAATATAATGGTATGTATGTAAATCTCCGTATAAGTAAATACTAATATTTAGATATTAAATATGTATATACTATTGTTTAAGGTCTTATATATGTAAAAATTCATCAAATAAATAAGAAAAAAGAAGAAATGATTTTAAATGACCTCTAAATGCAAGTTTTTATGCCTTAAAATGTTTTCATATTAAAATTTAATCCCTGCCCTCAAGCGCGACCTGTATTTCATCGCAAACCCGTCAACAACATGTATCCGCTGCTGTGTTGCGAGCCGCCGACTTGACGAGCTTACCTCATTACTTCACTGAGCCCGTCAAAATGGCGTACCTTTCCTCCTTCGCCGCCACCAAACTCACCTCTAGAACCCTAACCCTAGCCCTACTCCGCAACCCGGCCCTCCTTTTCATCCATGGCTTCTCATCTTCCTTCTCATCCGCCACCTCATCCGATCCCCCTCCTGCTTCCGATCGTTCTTCGGACTCCGCTCAGGCCCGACCTCTGCGTGGCGAGCACGCCAAACGGCCGCCATCTCTGGACGAAACCATCTGCCACATGATGTTCCGTCGGCCATGGACTACACGCCTCCAGAACTCAATTCGCTTTATTTGTCCTGTCTTTGAACAACCACTCGTCCTCGCCGTCCTTCGACGTGCCGGCGATCGCGACCCCAACAGAGCCCTCAGCTTCTTCCGCTGGGTCGAGAAAACTGGCTTCCGCCACGACCCTCACACTTACTCCGAAATCATCTCCATCCTCAGCCGATCATCCATGCTCAACCACGCCCGATGCCTTCTTCTCGACGACATGCCTAAGCGCCTCGTCTCTCGTGACGAGCAAATGTTCGTTGACCTCATTGCCGCCTATGGACGCGCCGGTATCCCCCAGGAGGCCGTCAAACTTTTCCGCCGCCTCCCAGAGCTTGGCGTCGACCGCACCTTGCGATCCTACGACGCCCTCTTCAAAGCCATCCTCCGTCGCGGACGAGTTCTCATGGCCAAGCGTGTCTTCAATTCCATGATCCGTGATGGTGTTCTTCCGGCTATCTCCACCTACAACATTCTTATTTGGGGCTTTTGCCTCTCGATGAAGATGGAGACAGCAACGCGCTTCTTTTCCGAAATGAGAGAGAGAGGATTTTCGCCGGATGTTGTTACCTACAATACCCTGCTTAATGGCTGGGTGCGAGCGAAGAAGATGGATGAGGCACACAAGGTGTTCGATGAAATTGTTACTGTTGGTCTGATTCCTAACTCGGTTACCTACAACCTTTTGATCAAAGGAAATGTGTCTTGTGGAAACGTGGATGATGGAATCCGGCTATTTGATGAAATGAGGGCTAAGGAGATTACGACCACTGAGCGGACCTATGCTGCTCTGCTACCTGGGCTCTGTGATGATGCGGAAAGGACTGCAGCTGCCCTGAAAGTTTTCAAAGAAATGGCAGAGAGGAAGATGACTCCCAAGGACAAGTCCATATTTTTTAGATTGATCACAAGCATGTGTAGGGCTGGGGACTTCCATAGTGCATTGGATATGCACCGATTGATGGATAAATTTCGGGTTTCTTTAGATTCGAAGCATTACAGTATAATGATTGAGAGTCTCTGCAATGGTGGAAAGTTTGAGCAGGCAGTAGAGATGCTCAATGAGCTCCTTGAGAAGGGCATCTTGTTGGGACTTGATAGTTTGCCTGTAGAAGCCTCTGCATACAATCCAATAATTGAGTACTTAAGCTGCCATGGCCATACTTCGAAGGCAGAGACATTCTTTAGGCAGCTTATGAAAAGAGGAGTTGATGATAAAATTGCATTCAATCATTTGATTCGTGGACACGCCAAGGAGGGGAACCCCGAGCCTGCATTTGAAGTCCTTAAAATCATGAATCGTCGCGGAGTTGAATCAGATGCAGATGCTTATGAGCTTCTTATAGATAGTTTCTTGAAGAAGAGAGAGCCTGCTGATGCTAAGACTGTCTTGGATAGCATGGTTGAACAAGGGCATCTACCGAGCCCAGCTCTATTCCGGTCGGTAATTTCTGCACTATTCGATGATGGGAGAGTACAGACAGCAAGCCGAGTGATGAAGATCATGATAGAGAAGGGTGTGAAAGAGAATCTGGACATGACACAGAAGATATTGGAAGCTCTCCTCATTAGAGGGCATGTTGAAGAAGCCATTGGCCGCATCAATTTGATGATTATGAATGGTTGCATGCCTGATTTGGATAGCCTGGTAGGCTTCCTGTGCGACAATGAACAGCCAATTGCAGCACTAAAGCTTGTAGATTTTGCATTAGAAAGAGACTATGACGTTAGCTTCTCAAGCTATGACCGCCTGCTGGATGCTCTCTATATTGCAGATAAGATACTTCCAGCATACTCAATACTTTGCAAGATCAAAGCAAAGGGTGGGGTAGTGGATAACAAGGGTTGTGAGAACCTCATTAAGACCTTGAATACCCAAGGGCATACAAAGCAGGCTGATATTCTGTCAAGAATCCTTTCGGGAAACACTGTTTTTGAGAAGAAGAGGGCAAGAAGGATGGAGACCCAGGCCTACTGAAAATCCGACCGTTACTGATTCATATTGGAATTAACATTTCTGTTCTGGAAACTAGGATTTGCCATGCACAAGAAGTGAAGGTAATTTTTTTGTGACCAGCTTAATTGAAATGTTGTTGCATGAGTTTTATTAATTGTTTAGATTTTTCTTTCACGTTTCTTCTTGGTTTGCTTTCTCTCATACTATTATTAGAGCAATTAGTATTTAGGGGTTTTTACATACCTAACACGTAAAACATCTCTATTTACTTATCTAACACGTAAAACATCTCTAATATTACCCTTCTACCACCTAAAAGCCATATCCCTTATCAAATATACCATTCTATTTCTCTCCCGTCAAAACCTAACCCCGAAAGTTGTATTTCGCACAATAATCATCTTCTCCAACTTGTGCGAGTACATCCGAACAGAGCAACTCCTTTTCTCGCATTTGAATCCCATTGTCTTTCCCATTTCGTGCGAAGCTCTAGCTCAGTCAACATTTTGTTGATTCCAACCTTCAAATTGAAATAGAGGCTGAAGCAGCCAAAAGCCATCTCAGAAGAACGTCATGAGATGAACGTCAAACTTATGAAGTAACCACAAGCAAACAAGAGGATAATCGATTGAGTGATCAAACAAATTACAAAAGAACTTTGCTTTGTGCCATATTTGTTTTCCTTTATACCTTTTTCATTTCAAAACTTGAGGAGAAAATGTTTAGAGAAAGAAATGGAGACTTGTTTCGGATGAAGCGTAATTAGATTCAGAATTTAGTACACTAAATTCAGGAAAAGCAACTTTTGAGCGGCATGGAGAAGACGATCGGAGATGGGAGTTGCTCGATCGGTCATCGGATGGAGAAACGATCGTCGTGGGCGGCGTGGAGAAGATGGCCGGCGTCGACAGTGTGGTGCACATGGAGAAGAACATCAAAGAGCAAAGAAGAACCGGCCAAGCGAGGATGAGGCGATAACGAAGCAAACGTGCATGAAATACAGCTTTTGGGATTTGGTTTTGACTGGAGAGAAACGGAGTGGTATATTTGATGAGGAATAGGGCTTTTAGGTGGTAGAAGGGTAAATACTAAAGTTTAGGTATTAAATAAGTAAATAGAGAAGTTTTAAGTGTTAGGTAGGTAAAATCCCTAATATTTATAGTTTCTTTCACATTTATAGTTTCTCTCATACTATTTCTGTTGATTTATTATTTTAATTTTATTTGTTCTTCTTGGCTTTTTTATTAAACTTTTTAAATTCGTGTTTACTTCATAGACCAAATTTGAAAATATGATATGTTTTATAAATGAGATATTTGAATATTCTAAAGTATATATTATTAGTATATTGATATGGGATTTTACCAAAAAAGAATCTAAATTCTTTATTTTGTTAAAATGAATCACATTTAGTAAATTGAAATTAGTATTTCAATAGTTTTAATTTTTTTATTTCATAATACACCCAAAGTATATATAATATTTTTCAATGAGATAAATTCAATACAGAGAAATCGCATGTGTTTGTTATATCAAAGTGCTATGAGTTTGTTATATCTATATCTAACTATCGCTTATATTTTAAATTTAAAGGAAAATTTACATACATATCATTTTATACCATCCTATTTACATATCTAACACCAAAAATTTTAATATTATATAATATCAAATATATCACTTATATTTTCTTCCTATCACTCATATATTTCATTTATACAACTCATATTTGTTATGAAAATAAATTATGGATGGTATGTATATAATATTAAAATTTTAGGTGTTAAATATGTAATTAGAGTAGTATAGGATGATATTTTTAAATCCATCTACTAATAGTTTTATCATGTGATATTTTCTAAGAAATAATTTAGATGTCATAATAAATCTTTCATTACATTTCATTACAAATGAATTCATATATAAACACAAAAGCACTTGTAATGTCCACTTGTAATGAAAACACAAAAGCACTTGTACATATATCCAACACCAACTTGTGATGGGCAAATTATTACGTCCGGTGTCCGGATTCATTCAGACACCAATTCAGACGTGCTACGTCACCAAAATATACCAGGTTCCAGTATATTTGGGTGACGTGACGCTTCTGAATTGGATGTCCGGACGTCCGGTCACCGAACGTAATAATTCGCCCTTGTGATGTGTCCTGCGCATAATAGCATCAGATCCAGGTGTCTACTGCTATGGGGGACAGATAGACCTACCTCATAGAGTATGCTGCTCATGTACATCTGCATGCTCATCTGTTTGGGTGAAATGGTTACTATGACTGAATCTCCCTATGTGATATTGAAAATAACTTGAATAACTCATGGATCGATTCCTCATCATGCACCTCATATTGTTACCACTGCTGATATTGTCTCGTGATGCCTGGATCAACTGACTGTTATGTTGGAATATCTCCTCAAAATCCAGAAAGTAGTCACGCTGCATCGGAATTTTTTTTTTCTTCGAAATATTATGAAAGCAATCACTCTAAACATCATATTGGTAAATATGTCTGATTTTTACAGGATGACGAGAAATTATTCTGTGCGGACACTGGATGGTCTGAAGATTAGTCAGAATGTGCCATGTCACCCAGCACACAACGTTACCGAGCAAAAAAAAAAATTACATGTTGCGTTCTAGTTGATCTCCGGATGTCGTCTAGGTCTGCAAGAAGAATAATTTTTCCCTAATGGCACTCTGTTGGTGCTCTAGGATAGTACGTCTTAGGTGGCTCAATTGATGCTTTAAATAAAAATAATATAACCCATGAAATGTACCAACTTAAATAAGTTATTTTGTCTTGCCTACCATTTAACATCACTGAACAAAAAACAAGAGAGATAATTGGGCATGTTGAATCTAAATTCAACATCAGAGTTTTGTACATGAAAGCATGAGATTTATGTAGCACAGATACTCCTATTTACGAGGCGTGTTATATCGGATAAGTGTCGAATACGGATACGTCTCCGATACGGCACGGATACGTGTTAGATACAAATTTGTCGTGTCCAATTAAAATATTATTTAAATTTGACTGAACACACGCATCAGATACGTGTGTCCTATTAAAAAAAAAACGAAAAAAAAACATAGCCGCAATTTGCCCTATTCATTTCGGCTATCCGCTCAATATCCATATTCATTTATGCGGCTTAAACATTTTAGCGAGCTAGGTTTTCGTTTCCGCACAGACGTTCGTCTTCTTCGTTATAGTCGAAAGAGTGACTCGACGACGCGAGCATAGAAGAGGACGGGATCAACATTCGTCGATGAAGAGGCTTGACGACGCAAGCATTAAAGCCGACAGGATCATCCTTCGTCGACAGAGCGGCTCGACAACACAAGCAGTGAAGGCAACGCGAGCAGTGAATGTTCGTTTTCTTCATCGTAGGCTCGGTATCGGAACTCGGTACTGCTCAATACCAGAACTCGGTACCGCTCGATACTGGAACTCGGCACCGCTCAATACCTCTCTGCAACGCTTGGTACTATGCTCAGTATCAATGTTCGGTACCGCTCGGTATCTCTTGGTACTGAGGGGTACCGAATGGTACCAAGTGGCATCGAGAAGCTAGAGAAATCTTTAAAACAACTCTATCAATAAGAATGGTACCCTACCCCGCGAGGTCAAGGAAAAGTGCCCCTGCGGAGGTTTCTGCGACATATCTACACTTTTACTTAAAACTTTTCATGTTTCAAATTCATGTGGTTTAATTTGTGTCGATCCTTGGCAGGATAATGAGCTCTAGTGGTATAGGAATTAGGTCTGATGATGGTCCATCAGAGACCAATATTAAAGATAACAAGCATATGTGGGGTTATGTGACAAAAATAGGTAAAATGCTATAAGGGATTGGCAATATTGCATTCAAATGCAATTATTGTAATGCCACATATAAAGGATCATATTATAGAGTAAAATATTATTTGTTGAACATTAGTGGTCATGGAATTAAAGTATGCACGAAGATAAGTTCATCACAAATGGTTGAATTATAAATGAAAATCAGTGAAGCTGAGCAAATGAGTAAAAAAGAGCTTCCAAAATATATTCCACTTCCAAGCACTCATGCTTCATATCATTCATTATCTTCTTCAATTAGAAGTGATGACTATAATGTAAATAAAGGGCCTTTTTGGATTGAGGGATATGAACCAAAAAGAAGAAAATATGTTGTAGATAGTGCTTTGGAGAAAGCATTTAATTTATAATTGAGAGAACAACTAGATTGAGAAATAGCTAGAATATTTTACTCAGGTGGACTTCATTTTAACATAGCAAGGAATCCACATTAAAAGAATGCATTTACCTATGCATGCAATAATAATCTTGCATGATACATGTTATTATGTTATAATGTCATTAGAATAAAGTTATTGCAAAGAGATAAGGATAATATTAAGAAGTTGCTCGAGCATACTAGAGGAGTTTGGAAGAAAAAAATGAGTTATTTTGGTTTGTGATGGGTGGACAGATTCACAAAGAAGACCACTTATCAACTTCAAGGCTATAATAGAGAGATATGATATGTTTATCAAAGCTGTAAACTATGAAGGACAGTACAAGGATAAGTACTTCATTTCTAATTTAATCAAAAAAGTTATGATGATGGGGCCTTCAAACATCATCCAGGTCATTACTGATAATGCACATGTTTGTAGAGCTGCACACTACAGGAAAATCACCCATTTCCGACGGCTTTCCGGCGGTAAATTTTCCGGCTACTTTTCGGCGCTTTTCCGACGAAAACCAATAAGACAAATTTTTCGCCGAAATTTTTTGGCGGTTTCTTTCCCATGGAATTTTCTGGCAGCTTTTTTAATTTTTCAGCCGAATTTTAAAATTTAATTAAAATGATTAAAATTTTAACTATTTAAATGATTTAACAAAAATTATTAAAAATTATATGAACTATTTAATTAATTTTCATTTTAAAGTTATTTAGTAGATATTAATTTTTATTTATATTAATTATAAATTTTTTATTTTTAATTAATTAGTATCATT